CCCGAGGGAATTTTACTAAATGACCCGAATCGATCGGCGCCCAAGGGAATTTTACTAAACGACCCTCATCGGGCGGGACGTTTCAATAGCTAATTCGCTTCTTTTTATGCTATTACCTTATAATATCATGATTGCGGGTATTCCCGTTGTTCTGGCAGGGCCATTAAAAACCAATTAAAAATAAATATTGGTATAAATTAAATGGTATAATTGTTTTCCCTGTCTTTGTTTAGTTTTGGCGATTTCAGATATCTTCATTTATATTCATTTTTTCTAATCGTACCCGCTTTGACGTCGTTTTGGGTAGGATTAGAACTAATTCTACCTGACATGACGTAAAAGCGGGTAGGATTAGAAAAAATGAATATAATGAGGTGTATTAGTTATTAATTGCCCTGCGAGAACAAAGGGAATACCTGCAATCATGATATTATATAAGTAATAGCATGGCTTGAGGGAGATTAGTGATTAAATGGCCCCGTAACCCGAGGCAGGTTTGCGAAATTCCCGAGGGCGAAGCCCGAGGGAATTCCGCAAACCTGCCGAGGGTAAGGGGTCATTTAATCACTAATCTCCCGAAAAGCCATGCTATTAGTTTGTAATAGCATAGTTTCGCTCCCATTTAAAAATGGACAAACATGCCCTACTTGGAATCAGCGTATTTAAGCTAAAACATTTGCTTCATTGCTTGTGGGATGTAAAAGCTTGTTGCACATGCGCACTTTTTACGCTTTAATCGGTTACGCATGCGCAATCTATCATTTAACGTACCACAACAACAACGCTAAATATATTAGTATAAATTTGAAGACTGCACCTGCATAATTTAAATGATGCGGCAACTCAGGGATCGGATGATAGACTATTAGGGAGCTTTAGATTTGACTACGAGTACGACTACGAGTACGAGATTCGTCAAGCTAAACGCATGCTGTATGCTTACGCCATCCCGTACTGATGCTAAAAAGTCGTAGCCGTCGCCCATCTGAGTACGAAATTGTGGAGAAACCTCGTAGTCCTCACGACGACTTTTCAAAAAAAACAAAAAAAGTTGGCTTTTTTTTGTTTTCCAAAAATAATTTGTAGCATTTATATAGCGTTTATTCGGCGCAAATAATATATTAGTACTAAATATCTGACCTGTTTTTAATGTTATGACTTATTTACACGTTTTGTGGGGGATTTTAGTCAGCAGGAGATTTAGTTTATGAAACTTTTTCTCTCGTTGTTGATTTACTGTTATAAAAGCAACATTTGAATGGAAACGAGAACGACTACGGTAACTTCCTCGCACGCGATCAAATCTCGTACTCGTAGTCGTACTCGTAGTCAAATCTAAAGCTCCCTATTGACGGCTCTGAGCTAACTGTTGCTGTTCCTTGCACGATTATGTGCGTGAGGCACTTGCCTAATGCGTAGTCGTCAGGGAGACAAAGGTGTGTGACCCTTGGTAACGGGCGATTAGTTCTAATCGCCCGCTCTAGCGGGCGATTAGAACTAATCGCCCGCTACAGCGGGCGATACGTGATTAAACGACCCTGTTGAAACAAAAGAAACCCGGGCAACTATGCTATTATTATAAATATTTTAATAACATACTGTCAGTATCGAGTAATACAAGAAATAAAAATGAAGTTATTGATATAAAGAAAGAGTTAGTTTACAAATGAGTACTCTAATTGCAGTATATAGTTGAAGACGTTTGGGTTTTAGTTAGCCAGCCCATTGACTGTCAGCATTAATTACAGGGGGGACTGGAGGAAACAAAAATTAGATGCTAAAATTGTGTTGCCCCCCCCCCCAAGGATAACAAAATTATACTTGACCCCCTCCCCCGCACGCAATAACAAAGGCACAAACGTACCGGGCCGGAACTACTGGGGGTGTAACACCCCCCAAAGAAAAGTAAAAAAAAGGTGCCCAACGTTACTTGCCCAGAGGGGGAGCCAATAACGAGTGCTAACCTGTCACCTGTGGCAAAGCTAATCATAAATAAAATATCAATAAAAATTCGGCGATATTCTTAGTTAGTTCAAATATACCATTATTACAAAATCAAGTACGACATACCTCTGTCGTGCCAATCGCTGTTTATCTAAAATGAAAGTTCAGAAACGAGAAAATGTGGAATGTACACAAATCTGTATAGTGCAATTCCAACACCACCGAACAAACGTTCTATAACTGTTACGATATGTAATAATCATAAAGCACAATACAGCAATTCCTTCAACGCAATCAGTGTCCCAGAAAATATTACCTCCCAAAATTTACCCCCATGCATTGCACCCCCGGTTGTAATGTCCAAATTAAAATTCCGCTTCCTCTTTGAACCCCCGCCCACAAGAAAACATTCAAACTTTATCGCGAAATTATATCTATTTAATTCTACCTCAAATTCTACACATACGATCAATATTTAATTTTACAAAACTAAGTTTTAAATGCACATATTTTAGCAGCACAGTTGACACAATAATTTAAGAAACACGCGTTTTAGCTGGCAATCTGGCATTGCGTTTTCCTGCAGTTTTTTTCCGTTCACTACCAGCAATGAAATCACCGACACTCGCAGTTAAATGTTTTCATTCCACTAAACTAATACTAAGACTAGGTGAGCTGCACGCAAAGAAAGGTAAAACGCGACGTGCAGTGAACTCATAGTTAGAAGCACTAGAGTTAAAATATCTCGGATTAACAACCATGACGTTCAATGTTCTTTCTTCCATGTCCAAAGTGAAGGATATATCAATATTCTGGCCTCTTTGGGCAGGAACGTTATGAACCCACTTCTTTATGCTGTGAGCAATATCTGCATTAAAACAATTAGGAACACTCCTCTTTTTGCTTTTAGCAGTTTTCGCATTAGGAACACTCCTCTTTTTGCTTTCAGTAATTTCTGCATTAATTTCGTCATAGTCGATGATTCCAACTTCTGCACTGGATTGATTGTAGCAATCATTGTTATACAATCGAACTTTCCACGTGTGAACTCCAGAACCAAAGTAACATCCGCCGACTCTCCAACAGTATTCACCCTTGCGACCCTCACCATTCATTGTACGTCCACCATTGGTGATAACACCTTTACCATGAGCATCACTTATAACCCAATTCATTTGTTTTGTCAAAGAACAATTTGGAGCAGGCGTTCCATTGATGGATACCTCGAACTTCAACATGCCATCCTGACGAGGACAAAAACTGATAGTGTAGGAACCATCTTTATTATCAGTAACAGCAACATCACTGACCTCTATTCCAGTGAACGACGGTTTGATGTCCTGACCTCCGTACCTTAATCTTCGGTTATTTTTGTCGTGACAGATTAATGTTACGAAGTATGGTTTCCCAGCATCAAACACTTGTTCTTCTTCCTTGAAGGAAGCGTGGCAATATGCAGGGTTTGCGACAGCAACGTCAACATCATATTTTGTTAACAGCGTTTTCTTTGTTTCCTGCACCGACGAAGGTATGATAAATACCATGTCTTCAGTGACACAAGGCTTCGTTTGGTCTTTAACTGTTTTCAGCTGCTCCAAAGACTGCAAAATGTACTTCTCCATGCTCAATATTTGAATATCGTTGCCATTCTTGAACGCTTGCTTTGTAAACTCGATGCTGCTTTCACAACTTGCTAAAGCCATTTCTAAGACCTCTAACTGTGTATGAATCTGCCTTTGTTTCGAATTCGTCATTAAAGTCGCTTTTTCCATCATTTCTCTTTTCCGAGATTCCACAGCTTTCAAAAGTTGATCGAAGTGCTGACTGATTTGTGAGACAGTTGACGTCTTCTTAGCCTCCAGACCTTCATTAAATTTCTTCAGATTCACAATTCCCTGTGCAATTCTTCCTTTTCTTTGCTCTACTTCATTAAGATTGCTTTGCAAATGACGTTTTTCTTCGACAGCGACTTCTTCAACAAATCCATATTTATGCCCCTGATGATCAACGATGGTGCAATCTCTGCAGATGGTTGTTTGACATGTTTTACAAAACAACTTGATGACTTCGTCCTTGTGTTTGGGACATCGCATCTTCTCAGCAATGTTCTGTGGACCTGCATTGGATCTCAACTGCTCCATGGTCACCAGCTCGTGGTGTTTCGTTGGCCGAGATCGTTTATGAAACTCGGAACAATATTGACAAAGAAATATTCCACATTCATTGCAACGACCTTGAGCAGGATCTTCACTGTCACAGTTATCACAAACAATCTTCTTCGCAGAGGGCTTGTCATTTGTCAGTGCCATTGTTGCTAGGAGATTGTTGACGAAGAAGTTTGATGGCAGAGTGGAAACAGTCTTTTCGTCGACCTATGCATTGGATAACGTTATTAGAACAAGTAAATCAAATTATTAAAGGGGTTTTCTTAAAGTGTAGCTATCAAACAACTGGAAATTACAGGGGTGGAAAAAGTATCGGAACCTGGGAACCTAGGTCCCAGAAATTTTTTTGAGTTGAGAGTTGTGCAGAAAATTTTCCAGAAAATATTTCAACATTTTGAGATAACTCTGTTTACTCAACTTACAAGTTACAACTATTCTACTTTACACCGTACACTGAACACGCTAACATCAGCAGCTTTTAAATATTTGACAGAAATTAATTCTTTTACCCACCTCTGCCATCACAATGAGGTAAAATGGTAAATATATGCTCTGCAAAGTCTCCAATAAAATGCAAATTAAATAGTAAACAAATAAAAGTGATGGAATAAATAAGATGATAGGACACTTAGTTAAGCGTTAGATCCTTACTAGTTGGTCATAACTCATAACTGTGGTATATAACAGACAACTATTGCGATGTACGAGCATACGAAAACACCAGCCTAAAGCCTATTATTACTACAGGTACAAATAATACAATAAGTATACATTTGTTTTGTTATTTTTGTAATTGTAACATTGCAAATTTTACAGAAAATTTCTAGCCTTCGACTCAGGTTCCCAGAAAGAAAAAAATTTTTTCCACCCCTGCTGAAAAAATCCCAAAATTTGCTTTAGTCGTTTAGAGTAAAGAACAGTTAAAGCAAGAACTAAACTTACGATAAAAACAATACCTGGACTTTTAGTACATAACAAGTTTTTAGATCTACAGAAGGTTTTAAAGTAATTTTACGGGGTTATACAATGCCTTACATAGCTTCGACAGGTCCACACGTTTGTAATTTTCAAGATTAGAAAAAATAAGTTCGTTCCTTCAAATTTTGGTGAAATAGTCAGAAAAACGTTGGACTGAATTAGCCTTTCTCACGCCGCCATTTTTGGGGTACTGTAATTTTTCGTAAACGATTATAATTAACAATGTGAAAAGCAATATTTCAGAACAAACTAACAGGCCTTAAAATATCTTTTACAGGGCCGTCTGACAAAATGTCCGATGACTTTGAGTTTGGGTCGGACATATGTCCAATGACTTCAGTTCAGTTTGGGTCGGAAATAAGTTTGAATGACGCAAATTAATATCAGCATAATGTATTCATTCTGAACTAAATGTTGTGAAGATATTAAATAATTTGTGTCATTCATACTTATTTCCAAGCCAAAATTAACTTGCTTGCCAATGATAGCAGTACGCCGGACTTCGATAACTTAAGCCCGTTTTCCACCTCACCATTTCACTCGCCGCCCCGCAACATTTTCGGTCCATTTTTATACAAACTCTGGTCCTGGACTGGGGTACATTTTGATTTATGTGCGTGGAGAAAGCGTCAGACAAAGCTACAGTTCGGTCGGACACCAATACACTCGGGTCGGACAAACAATAAATCTGAGTTTCACTTAGGTCGGACAGAATGTCCGGTGGTTTCCTTTCTACGTCGGACAATTTGATGAATGGGTCGGACAATGTCCGTGACCGACCGATATTTTAAGGCCTGAACTAACTATTTACAGAGTAAATTTACCATCATATACCCACCAAATGATAAAATGTTACGTGGTGTTACACTCGCAGGATTGGCAAAAAGTACCCCAAAAATGGCGGTGTGAGAAAGGCTAACAGCCCACACCTCAATTCTCAAAGCACTCCCTAGACCTTCTGAAAGTGCAATTTTCCAATAACGGCAATTTTCTAGCTTCGAATAGTTTGCATCAACCATGCAGTAATAGGACGTATTCATTGGAGTTATCTTTCCAGTTCATGCAAACTTTGCTGCCAACGTTAGCTACTGTACATACACACAAATATCTCACATCTTGTCAACACCGAACAGACTTGCAACAAGTTTGCCAACAGGTTGTAACAATGTTGTTAGTTTGTCAAGTTGGTACAAGATGTCACTCACACAAGACGTCAATATACCATTGGTATGTCTGCATGCTTTAGGTTTGTTGTATGTTGTGCGTCTTTACGTGTGTGACCCATGTCGTATTACGACCCGCAGAATAGAGACACAATTTCACTTGCCAAATACCGGTATATCAACCAATAAGCTGTACAACAAATGCAGCATATGACAGTTATCTGATCAGTGAACTTTTATGCAATTACTGTTTAATCAATGTTTGTCCCAAAAACTTAAAAATGAAAAATGGACGGTGTTTCCTTCAAACAACCCTAAATTTCTAAAATACTAAAGTTGTAATATAATAATTCAGAAAAGTTTTGTTGCACCAAAGCCGGCATACAATGTATTTACTGTAGCATCAAATACAGTTGACAAATATGATTTATCATTATTGTGAATGAGCGAAATGAGATCATGATAACACGAACAAGGGAAATTAATTGACAAGTAAAATTGTCTGCCATTAGAAAGAGAGTAAATAATATAGTAGGTAAGACACATTAGGCTGTGCACATTGCAACTTGAAGGATTAAGTAGACACATGGGCAGATAGTCTAACTAATCCATTGAGTGCCAGCTAGTGCTCTCTCTTGAGTGAGTTAAATCGTCTGATGTTAGCATAGGGGGGGCAGCAGCCCCCCATAAAAATTGAAATGTCAATGAGTTGGGCAAATCTTGAACGTAAGTCGGGAAAAAGTGGGGAAAATAAACTGACAAACAAGAAATATGTAAGATAATAGTAAAAAATGCAAGAAAATAGGGCAATGTGGCGAAACATTTTTAGCATTTCAAAAGTTTCCAAAGCTTAGCAGGGAATTCGATTGGTCAGGCAAAATGCAAAAGTCGAACAAATTTTGTTCTGCCTAATTTTTCCACTCCCGTAGGCCGATGGGTGTTAGAGAGAGTAAAATAGTAAAGTACTGTAGGCCGCAAAATTGCACTAATGCAACTTAATTAATGGGTTTAAATATAAAGAGGGTGTGTTAATTCGAAAGGGGCTTCATGGAGAATTAACATTATAAAAATATCATTTTTAGTTCTCTGAGGTCCATGTTTCCTTACATTTTTACATATTAACCATTTAACCCATTGATCACCAGCTGACTCTCCCCAGGGTTCTCCACCGTTTTAAGTGGAACAGGTAAAACAGAAAAACAGGTACTGTATAAGCGTCAAGTCAATTCCCCCCCCCATCGACAACTTTTTAGGTAAAAAATTCTTCCGGACATTATAACATTACAGACTGTCAGTTGCTTTCGTAGCACTTTTTCCAATTTCTGTCGCACTTTTTCATGAACATGGCAATATTTGCATAACAGGACTGAATCGTCGGGCTGGCTTCGCCACTGTAGATTGATTATAGGATTTTTGCACACCGTATTACTATTACTATTTCTTAACAAATGTACACAAACTCTAGCCTTCTCCAGGTGGTAATCAGTGGTTGTGGAAACGGTAAATTTTACCGGTTACCGCCTGATAATTAAGGATGCTATCTCCCTTGATTGATGAGTAAAACCATTTTGGTTTAGACAAAGTAAAATGATAAAGTCAGCAGTTGTAATAAAGTATGTAGGCTGCTGGAAACTGTTAATTTTTCTTACCTCTACTGCCAATCGACAATCAGGACAGTTGATAGTATTGGAATTTGCATTTTTGGCCAGTTTTACAATGCACACATGACAATATGAATGAAGACAAGGTAAAACTTTGGGATCTTTAAATGGTTCCAAACAAACAGAGCAAGTCAAATGTTCCTCAAATTTATATCGAAGTGATTCAGCCATTGTAACTATAGCTAAAAACACAATTGAATAGCATCATCTATTAAGTCTGCAACATTAATTGACACTTTCTAAATATTTGCAACTATACATAATAGGGCAGGAAGTCTAAGACTAAATAAAGACCCTTCATCAACAGCATAATAAATGTGCAAGTTAAAAGTGTTTCTTGTGGCACATCAAACAAATGCCATATTAATTAAATAATCAATTTAGAAATTAAATAGCTAAACAATTATTACATTTAAAGATAAAAATTTGCATAAGAAGCTTGGAGATATAGATAATTCAAAAGAGCTAAATTACATTAAATTACATCATTGGCCCAGAAGAATGATTGTTCAGAGGTGTAAGTGTGTAACTTTTAATAACACTTGTTCAGACAGTATAACATATTATAGCCATATAGAGCAGTGGGAGAACAGGTCGACATGTTGTCCCTTTAATGTATACCCCCCACCTACTGTACCTCAATGGCCATTGTCTGATGGCAAGTGAATTTTATTCAGGGAAACTAATTTTCATGTCCAACTTGCCCTCAGAGGGCAACTTGGTCAAAAAAGTAAAGTTAGGCGTAAAAAAAATACCTGGTTTTGGCTGGTTTTTGCTGGGCAATTTGCAGTAGAGTCCCGACATCAATATTAACTAGAGATGCATATTTCCTATGGACGGATTTAGGCAATTCGGTTCAATAATTAGTGTAACAACAGACGCCATTTTGGCACGCTGTATGGGCAGCCCGCAACCACCTGGAGAAAATAGGGTCGGTAGGTCAATCGCGTTGAAAAAATAATAGGGTCGGCAGAAAAAAATAGGGTCGGTCGGGAACCGGAACCACAGGTATTTTTTTTTACGCCTTACACCACTGATCGTTAGATAATTTATTTAATTGATAAATTTGCTTAATTTAATCAAATGCAGCTTAATGAACTTCACTGAATTTCACCAACTTTAAAGCTCTGTGTGTTTACACTGCAAGGCAATTTAATCCAGGCTGGAATCGGTGCCACTCAATCTCTGCCACATATTTTTTATTAATCAAATAAGTCAAGGATGTTGTATGCCATGCTTAATTAATAATAACGGCATATCGATTGTAGTTTTGACCACTTATTTTAATACAGATAAGAATACTAAGTGTGTGTATTTTATTGAAAAGAAATATAGAATTTTAATCCAAATAAAGGGTAATGATGACTTGAAGACTATAAATTTGTAAGGTTGACTTATCTTTGCCTATGCTTTTGGCATAACTGCTGCAATGCTGTCACATTTACCCCCGACTTTCAGGGGGGGTGAATATCTCTCATAAGTAGCACTGTCTACAAACATGACAAGTGCATTTTGATGACAAATCATTGGGATCGAATCATGGCATGCATGGCAGCAGTTACACCTGTTTGCCTGAGTCTTTGTGTGTCGATCTATTCTGTGACCAGACATTGACTTGCAGTATAAACAATTGGCATAGTATAAACCAGTCGGGATCCCATTGTTGGAGATTATCTGATATATGTCTCTGTGGTCAGTCCCTACCTGTGCTGTTATGTGAATTATGTAATATTGTGTGATGGTTTAGTTTATAGTAATATTTACAATATGTTTGTGTGTGGCAAATCTTGTAAAATAAAAAATAAATAGAGAATAATACATGGGTGCGCGTTAATACCAGATTTATTATGAGTGTTGAACATGATATCTCACGAGTGAGCGCAGCGAACAAGTGAGATATATCATGTTCAACACGAGAAATAAATCTGGTATTTCCAAGCACCCATGTATTTTTTTGTTTATTATATAAAGGACAGTCTTTGAAAACCGATAATTTTTACAGAAAAGCGATAAATGAAAGGCGATAATTTTCACATGTGAGATTTATGTATCGATCAATTCGAAACTTCACCATCCCCCCCCCGGCCGAACCCGGGAATTTGAACTTTTTGAAATTTGACTGATCAAATTCTCCACCCCCTGTGCAAAAAATGTCTTCATATGCCCCCCTGTAACAAGAAATTAAGCGTTCAAATGCCCCACCTTCATATGAAAATTATGAAACAGTAAATACAAAAAGTACAAAATATACGGAATGTTTTTCGACAAGATAGTGAAATTCACGTAAAAAGTTTGGATACCTTGTGGAAATTTAACAGTTTTACACAATTTTGTAGTACATACCTTCAAATGAAGCACATAGGTTTTCCATGCCCGTTTCGTTGAGCCAGTTTTTCACAAAATTGAGGCCATTCCCTTCGAAATCTGAGAAAACTGTATTTGCCGCCAATGCGAAGTATTTTCTGTGCATGCAGGAAGCACACGAAAACAGGCAAAATTTTAAGACTTCCGGTTCAAATTCCCCACCCTGTTATCAAATGCCCCACCACATGGAAGACCCAGAAGGTCAAATTCCCTACTCCCTGGAGAAGACTTGAAGTCAAATTCCCGGGGTATGCCCGGGGGGGGGGAGGGGATGGTGAAGTTTCAAATTGATCGATACATTATATCATAAATAATCTCACATGTGAGATTATCACTTTTATCAGTGCTCGAAATCTCTATAAAGCACTATACTTTATATAATATAAAATAAATTAACTCCATGCACTTCTGCAAAATTTTCTTTTAATATTACCATTTGGACCATTTGGGAGGAATCATAATTTGTGCATCTCAAATCTGGTTGAATACTACCTAATTTTGGCAAATTTTGCATCTGGTGCGGCGTTGCGCACAAAGCGAAAGAGACTGATTCCGGGCTCCAAAAATCTCAGGAAATATCAGTATTTTGCCATCTTTGGTTTTCCTAAATATTGAACATTTCTTCCTGTAGCTATCGTTTCATACTTCGCATTGATTTTATACGTCGTACTTTCCCGCAATAACTACATATATCAACAATACAACTTCAACTTAAAACGTTCGCAAATAAATATACAAATCTGCACGCAATCAAATGTGGGCAAAATGTGGGCACTTTCACATACTGTTGAAACTGTAATGTATGTATAAAATATCTACAGGTTCTTTTCTTCTAACTAGCAGTTTATAAAGTAAAGTTTATGCCAATTCAAGTGCAGTACAACTCACCTTCTCATCAAAACCACAAAGTCAAAACATCAAATGATTTTGTAGCAAAGACACGGACAACACTTCTTTTCAGTCTTTTGTTCACAGAACGCTTCTGCCTTTCTTGGAATACCGAATATAGCATGACGTTAGAGTCACGTGTGAGGGTTATCAAATTATCAAAAGCCAGCGATCTACTTATATATCTGGAGTGATTGGGGGCTTATTGTAGATGGCACATAGTATGGTTCATCGTTACATAGTTAATACATAGTTAATAGAAATAATAAATTATTAAACTATCAAGTTTCACAACTTTATATTTTGACATTTTGTCAACATGCCGCGTTAATATTGCTCGGTTTATGGTTGTCACAACTCCTTTGACAAAGACGGACTGTATTCACACTGGTAAGGAAATATTATTTTGT